GTTTCACTGGTTCCATCCGTTTTGAAGCAGCCTTCGAAACCAGGTTAAAACAGGTTAAAACTCTTGCACAGGAACCAGGGAAACCGAAGTCTAAGCCAAATCCAGTCGTTTCAAATGTCAATATATGAGGCAAAAGAAATGCCTGTCACAAAATCATGAAGAAGAGCCAAACAACTGTCATCGCTCTGCGTGACAGCTGTCACCGTGCAGTGCAACAACTCTCATCGCGCAGTGTAATGTGGCCTGAATAGAACACCATAAAAGAGTGAACTGTAGCCCTGTCGAGTTCAAAGTTTTCGTTGACTCATTTTGTATTCAAGTGATCGATGTGATCTACAACGCCTGCATCTATAATGAAAATATTCGTTGGAGGAGGCAGCAATCCAGCGGGGTGAGCTGAGTTGTTCAATTTTTTTCTTTTTTTTTGGCTTTATTTCATGCCATTGTGTACATGTATTATTGTTTATCGGCCATCTTGGATTACATACATGTACATACAGCACGTTACCACCGTTACTTGTCAGCTGTGTATGCAACTCCACACGCGCGGGAAGTTTTGAACTGTAGTGAGTTTGTACTGTAGTTTGTTGAAAATGGTCAACTTTTTGGCTGTGGAAATGGGGGGGGGTCGTGATAAGAAATCTTTTTATCGTTTACCTGCTGTACTGACAAGAGAAGGTGACGCACGAATGGTTGTCATGGGTTTCCAGAAACATCAGTGACAGAAACCTACAGTACACATGAATATGCTCCGATCACTTCATATCTGGTGAGTAGCAATGAACGTAACTTTGCATAAATTAACAAAATTTCAGTGCACTTTGAAAATATGTGTATATCCAAATTGGTTTGCTAAATTAATAAGAGTTATGACTCGATATCACCCCGTAATAGTATACTTCCCCGATTCCTGATAGTGCCTGTACATGTAGGCCTACAAGGCTACATCACTCAAGACATGTCAAAGCAAGGAGTTGGCCATGCTCATTCCTGACACTGCTTTCCAATCATCCAGCTACATTCTTTCATATTCGCCATGGATCCAGGAAAATATGAAAAGGCCCCAATGCAATATAATGAGAAAGAAAACAGCCAGAAATAATTTTTCAAAGCCCAATATATGCCATCAGGGAACCAATCCAGATGCCATCAATGGTCAGTTGACCATGGTTGACAGTGAAATTTAGCACCGGAGAATTTCAAAACATAATTGTTCTAAGAAAACTCTCAATTTTTGAGACCAGTCCCAGATCAGATGACTGTATATATCTTTCCCTCGAAATTAATAGGTTAATATCCTATTTGTTACTATATTTATTTTGGCCATATTTTTATTAGCCCCGCTTTTTCCATATTTTTTGACACCACAGGAAAGCCATCAACACTCTATGATACTCTAACCCTGATTGGGCACCCGCTTGAAGCTTGGACACAACAAGGTAGATAGTTGCTCAGTCGCTCGTGACTCAGAGAGGTATGCAAGAAGTGTGAAGAGACAAGAGCAGAAATGCAAACATGATGCTGCGGAAGCTCTCTTACAGCTCGGGTCAGACCACAAGACTCAACCAGTGGATGATGAAGGTAAGCTTTCTGAAGCAGCTTGCCACACTGACCTTGAAGGGAATGTTCTGTCTGCATCACAAAAAGAACTCCAGCGACTTTTGAAAGAAAACAGAACACTGAAAGAGCAGCTTGCCAACACCAACAAGTTTGACGAGGTATTCTTCAAAGACAATGATGAAAATGTTAGGCATTACACAGGACTTCCAAGTTTTGCCACACTAGTTGCACTTTTTAATTTTCTCGAAGTATATATTCCACATACATTCTTGAACAGTTTAACTAAATTTCAACAACTGGTTCTCACTCTAATAAAACTTCAGCTAAATCTTTCCCATATGGACCTGGGAAACTGATTTCATGTACATAAGTCGAAATCATCCAAAATGTTTTTAAATATGACTGATATCATGTATGTGAGATTAAAGCCACTAATATATTGACCTGATCGTCAACAGTTGATGGAAACCATGCCCATGTCATTTAGAACACACTTTGGTCAAAAAATAACTGTGATTATTGACTGTTTTGAGGTATTCTTAGAAAGGCCATCAAATCTTGCAGCACGATCATCAACATGGCGTTCTTATAAATCAAACAATACGATCAAATATTTGATAGGTATAACACCACAGGGTGTAATATCCTACATATCAGAGGGCTGGGGTGGCAGAGCATGTGACAAATATGTCGTTAACACAGTAGCTTTCTGCACAAATTGTGTGTTGTTGATGTGATCATGGCAGACAGGGGATTTGATGTTTCCGACAGCATTGGAATAATGGGGGCTAAACTTCTAATTCCTAAAATTAGAAGTTTATATAGTATCAACATTTTTTTCTTCAAGTCAACCCCACTATATAATGGCACTTTCATACTAAATTCAACTTTTAGTGTAAAGAATACTTAGTTTTTGTTGCTTTCCTGTAAATTTTAGTCTTTAAAAATTTGATTATTACATTTGTATGACAGAGGAAATAATTGGGGATGTTGATTCATCGTGTATTTTACAAGCAACAGGAAAACACTTTGGTATAGAATGTATACTTACAGGGATGGTGAACTTCTGCATTAAACTAAAGCATTCATGGGGAGAGAAACTGTGTGTATGTGCCTGTCTTATTTTGGTATCTTCTTACATGTACGGTTTTACGGCACTCTGGGCAGAACCACTTCCCTTTTGGAAACTGCATTATCTGGAGACAGCTCCGATGAAACCATTTTGTTGCTGTTGTAGAGAACTTATTGGTTTCAGGGTTACAGACAGATTGAATGAGAGATTGAGAGGGTTGATCTGGATTTGTTCTGCATACTCTCTTCATCTTTGATGCTGTGATGCGGCCAGCTCGAAATTGATACCACTTCTTGCTGCTCGACTGCATGCGTGTGGCCTTCTCCATATTGTTTGCCTGATCCTTGCTGATGGAAATAGACATTTCAGTACATTTTTCAACAAGTTCGGGAATGGCAGTTTGCAATTTTCTGAGTGATACAGGCCTGGTAAGACTGTTGGAAAGTTGCTTCCTTCGGGATGAAATTGATGGCTGTAGTTAAGAACAGTGAGAATTGCAGACTTTGTATCTGCCTCATTCAGATCTTTGTAGAGCAAGTCAAGTTCGTCTTTTGTGGGGCTGGTACCTGAGCTTTTTGTTTGACATCACCACCATCAGCTGTATTGACAGATCCATCTTCAAGTACATCCAACTGCCTCTTCTTAGTTTTGGCCGAAGTAAGTCTATTTTACACGCAGGGAGATAGGCAGCTTCTTTTACTGATGCTGGTAACTTCCAGTAAGCTGGATCTTTGGTCACCGTTTTTGGCTCGGAATTTCGTGTCAGTGTAGAACATCAGTGCACTGACATGTGTACACGTCTCCCCAATGCCCGCTATACAGTCACAGTGTGTTGCCAATACTTTGCCACTCCTTTATGTAATTATCCATGGCTTCAGGGGAGTTTCTCGAAGTCGTTGTGAATGCATCACCTGTAAATCGACGAATATGGATGAAGTCAATTAATAATACAAATAATGAAATAACGGAATTCCTAGAAAACACACCCTTCAATAATAACTGCCAGGGAGTTGATGGGCAGTTCCACTGTGTCCGACGTACATTTTGGACACTTCAACAGTGTGTGTTATTATACTTATAATAAGCTTCAAAATGATATATAATTTGTTACATTTGGACCATTTTGAAATTTTGGCTCAGAGGTTGATGTTTCCGTGGAACTGCCCTGATACAACAGTCGTGCTTGGTTACGTTGTGTGGAACTGAAATTTAAGCAAATCTTTTAATTTAAAAGCAATAATAGACCAAAACAACTTAAGGCCTATTTGGTGTTTCAACTGTGGAAACATCTCTATTTTTACTTCAAACATTCATGTTCTTTCAATAGTGTTGTCATGGTTTGTTGGTTGTTTGCAACTGAAAACTGTAACTTAGTTAAGGGTCTCCATGTGTTCCAACATGTAAAAGTTCAAATAATTACATGTTTTGCTATTGAGATGTTTATATGTACAATACATGCTGGAGCTGGATTAAGAAATCATGGCTCATCACTTGAGGCACTGTGTCCAAGTCGGAACAAGAACAATGGCACTTAAAAGTTGTTAGAATGTAGAACTCGAAAATTGAGCTCCTTCCTGCACTGTTAAACCACTTAATTGATTTCCAAAGTGGCTCAACAGATCATGCAGGATTTTTAATGCAGCCAACATCTTGCAAACTCAACTGTCAACACCCAGCAAACCCTGCAAAAAAGCAAAGGCAGCAACAAAACAAAACCAAATGAAAACCGGCAGGCCCAGGCCTACAACAAAAATAAAAAGTAGGCCTTACAGTAAAATAAAAGTTCACAAAATCTTCAACTCTAGACCACGTAGACTATAGCCTCCTAGAGTCCTAGGCCTCTGCAGCTTACATGTGGCTTGCCACATTAACCCAGTGTCTTGGCCACATTCATTGGGGCTATAGGTAGTCCAAGTAACTAGGACCCTAAAACTGATGATTTTCAATCACTTTAAAAACTGACATGTCCAACTCAGATTAAAAAATTGTCAGTTTTGATTTTTCAATCAGAGGTGGACATGTCAGTTTAAAAACTGACAGTGACAAGTCCACCCGAGATTGAAAAATCTTCAGTTTTAGGGTCTTAGTTACGATTCCCCTAGTTACTTGTTGGACTAAGGCCGCGCCTATCGGCAACACCAGCACAATTAGGCATAGGGGGCTTAGGCTACATGAAGTAACAGTAACGAACAATGAAACTATGTGCCCAACTAACGTTAGGATATGGACCTAGCGTACTCTTACTCATGAAGGTCAAAAACATTTTGAACTAACGTTAAATACTAGGTTTTCAAGGAAAATTGTGGTATGAAAGTTTAATGGAGAGGTGGGCTCCAAAAGTTGTAGTAGAGATATGAAGATTCTGCACCAATCTTGTATCTTCCTGTAGGTATCCATCCCCCCTCTATGTATCTGAGGCGTCCACAAGCCCCCTTCGTGCCTAAGAGACCTCCTTTGCGCCCACAAACCCGTCTCTGCGCTATATCTACAGAAATAAAAGTGTAAATTAGAATCACTCCCAAGGCTCCAAAAATCTGATGAGGATTCTGCGCCAAATGCACTATTCACACAAGGCCCCATCGCGCCCACAAGCCCCCCCCCTTTGCCGGCTACCTCCACAGAAATAAAAGTGTGAAATAGAATCGTCTCGAACCAGAACAACCACCGTATAACACCGTGGAAAACCCCCACGACCTCACAAAACTCCCGCGTAAATTCTGTATGTTTTTAAAATTTAAAAAAAAAATTTTTCTTGCTAAATATTAAATAATAACCGAAGAAATTATGGATACACAAATGTGTAAAGTTTGACACAAAGCAAAATCTATCGACGACTTTGAAATAAAAAAAATAACTTACAAAATCTGTGCCGTTTATTGTGTTTAGAAAAAATAGACAACGCTCCACGTTTAAACACGGTAAATGTAACATATACATGCCCCGAATGTATACCTGTTTGTCCGCAAGGTAAAACTAAACGAATTTGCAAAGAGTGTTAAAAAAACCTGCCTTGCAAACATAATAAATCTAAATCAGTTTTAAAATTTTAACATCTTTCAGCAACATCGCTCCATAAGCTGGTGATAGCTTGTCCTAAAGAGTCCCAGCCCGGAACAGTACTGGACATTGTCCAGACCGCCGAACGCAGGGTCGCTCTGCCATGGGTTGTTTTGCTCTTCGGAACATCTTATCAGGTAGCACGCGGTTAAGGTGGAGGGAGATTTCCAGCAAGCCGCCTGGCAGATTTCAGCTGGAGGAACTCCTCTGAAGTACGGCCAGGACGTAGAGGCGACAAGAACATCGTGGGCCGTGGTGTGAGATCAGGTCGTCTCATCATGTTGTGCCGGCCAGTCTGAGTTAGGGTTTCATCGTGATGAGGAATAGCTGGGAATTAGATTCTCGGCAATGCTTGGTCCTGGCAAGATACCACTTGACAGTCCAAACCGGACACCATCTCTTGTCAGAATCGTCTCCTGATAGTGTGGCTATGTCAAGGCGAATATGTCGGGAGGTCGGAAGGCAGGCGTCTGATTTTTCGTCAAAACCCTGATAATTGGGATAAGGCGAACGCCGTGTGGCTCTCAGCGGATGTGACCATTGGCAATCAATAGGGCACGCAGCTTGCTACCTCGTCTCAATGTAATGACCGCAAGGAGGAATGCCAGTTTGATGCTGAGATCAGACGCATCGGACAGCGGTTCGAAGGGAGGACCAAAAAGAATGCATAGGACGCTTCCGAGGTCCCGGGATAAAAGTGACGCATTTTACGTGGGGACGCTCGACGAACATGATGGATGGCAGTGTTGTCAGAAACAGGCAATCCTTCAATGAATCCCCAGTGAACAGCCGCCAAGGCTGACTGGTAGTTGCGGATGGTGGAAGTCTGGAGGCCCGAGTGAAATAGATACATGAGGAAATCCGCTACAGAACTCACAGGAGCTTCGGGCTG